TACTTTGTTGATTTTAGCCGTAATTATAAGGTGTTTCTAAAGATCTGTTCCGGTAGGTATAGTTCCGTTTACTGTTCTAATCGCCTAGTTTAGGGACTTAGACTTCGGCCCCTGTAAGGGTCCCGTTGGTTACTATGTAGGGCCGCCTAGTTTTTTAACTGTCCCCTCTCGGAACCTTGACTACTCGATTAAGGCGTATCGTCGTAGAAATCGCCGGTATCGCTATCGACTAGTAGGGAGTCCTCCGGTAGTTCTTCTACGAATCTATAGATTTCTTCCTTAGTAGGTATCCCCTAATCATCCGTTCTGCGTGTTCTTTTAGTATTCTACTTTTTTAGCCTACGTGGGAACCATCCTGTTACTAGTTTCTTACTTTAGTAGATTCGATAGTTGTCGTTATAGCATGTAGTCTAACTAAGCGTTCTATACTTAGGCTCTTTCCGGGCTGCTACTAACGTAGTTCGATCGGTGGTAGCGGCTTCCTTTCCCTTGTTTTTGTTTCGCGGGTTCTGCGGGCAGCTATATCCGGGTTCCTATTTGTTACCGTAGTGGATATAGAGGTTTTTATTAAATCGTTCCTTCTGTTAGTCGGTCTACTTGTTATTAGCTTTTCGGTTGCCTTTTTCTTTCTTGCTCTTATCCTTATTGTCCCGGGATGAGCTATCTAATTCCATAGCGTCACCTCCTTCTTAGGTGTGCCTAGGCCTTAGGGATCGGGATGTATTGGCTTGTTTATCCTAGCTACGTTGTAAGCGGCGTCGGTCCAATATGGTGGTAAGTTAGATTATTTTAGTAAGATTTTTAGGTTCCTTATAGTAGGTTATTGCTTCCTGAATTTCGTCCTTTAGTCCTTAGGTATAGAACGTCCTAAGCGTGTAGTCGGTGTAGTATCTAGCTACGTATACTACGTTTTAGAAGTCTGTAGTATATTCTAATACCGACTTCTTCTGTTTTAGAGTTTAAAGCGCTCTCGTGGCTTTACGGGTCTTATCGATATCCGCGAAAGCCTCTTTAAGGTATTTAACGAAAGTTCGATAGTTATTAAAGACCTCCTAAGTTCGATCGGTCTATTCCTATTACTATTTCTCCTAACGTTCCCGTTTTATTAGGCGGAACTATTTTTCTACTGCGCCACGTAGGTAAGTACTAGCGTATAGGACCTTTTCTTCGTTATCGGTAAATTATCCGCGCGAGAAGTGGAGGTAGTCGTCTAACTGGGTTAGGAAATTTTAGGTCTTGTGCCGGTCTCTATAGTAGAGATTAGGTTTCGGGACCTTGGCGTAGGACGTAGCCGGTGTAGCTATAGGTGGTATAGTAACGGGTGTAGGCGTAGGTTGAGCCGGTTGGGCCTCTTGTGGTAGAGCTGCCGGGTTTGTAGCTTCCTGCGCTAGGGGTCCCGTCTGCGGAGCTTGCCCCTAATTAATACGGGCTCGGAGGCGCGCGTTCTCCTATATCTAGTTGTTTAGTTGCGACTGGAGGTTAGCTATCTGCCCCTGCATGCCTTGCATTATGGCGAAGATATCGTCTAAGGTTGTAGGGTTTCTCTGCTGCTGCTGTTGCTGCTCCTAGGGAATACTGCTGCCGTCGTTTATTTCGACTATCGATATCTTATTCTATCTAGGTTAGATAGGACGGGGTGATACTTTACTAATTAATCTTAACTCGGAATTGATTCCTCCTTCCTTCTTGTAAGGAGGGTGGTTAAAGTGTAACGAGGCCTCTTTAGCCTAGGCGTTAGGATTACCTAGCGGGTGAATAGGTTCGAAGGGTTTACCTTGAAGGATAAGAAGTATAGGAGTTAAGAGATAAGTTACGTGAAGGATCGGGTGTAGGCGTGTTACTATTAACCTAGGAGTATAGATTGGTACTTTAAGTTAACTACGAAGGTCCTATCTACTACTAGAGAGCGTAGTCTAAATATATGTAGGAAATGCTAATAATCTAATATCGCCTTGTTACGAAGGGCGACTGTAGCCTTTTGTCGCCGGGCGACGAAGGGCGATACTCGTAGTAGTGCCTATAATCTACGGGCGATACGTAGGGCGTACGTGACTCGGGTGCTACTTTTCTAATAGCTAACTTTCTTTAACCTAATAACCTATCTTCTTGTCGTAGAGCGGGCGTGATAAGTTCCTTATCCTCGATCGCTCTATGGGTTTACTTATCGGCTTGCTGCTTTCGTCCTTGTAGACGTTAATCCCCTGCGGGCTCTCTAGAGTCGTCGCCTTTTAGTCGACTAAGTCCCTACGGGGTGTATTCCCGTATAGGCTTCTTAGGGTTGTAGTCTTAGTTCCCTTACGGCCTTGCCTAGTACGTATCTGCTGGTGCCTTATAGGACGCGGGCCTCTATAGTTACTAAGCCCTTAAGGTTTCTAGGCCCGTATAGGCTTTCTTCCTATAAGGTCTTTCCGACCCTGCGGGTTAATTTCCCTTACGGTCTATAATACTTAGAAGCTATTTATCTTACCACTACTATAACCCCCGAATATACCTCGTCGAATAGCGACGTATAGTTCTTATAATATATACGCCTTACGCGGAAAGAGAAGTATAACTATATTTAAAGCGTACGGTACGCCCCTCCCTACGCGGAACGTACTCTCTTTAGACCTATACGAAGTTATTAGTAATCTAAGGTCGGATTACCCGGGGTAGGAACGCTTTATAAGGAACTTAGAAACGAGGGACTAGTCCTTAAGTAATACGATATTATTATAGGTTACGTAGGTACTAAGCCCTTTACCGAAGGAGGCTACGCATAAGGATAAATAGCTACCCCAGGAGTAATAGGCGCTAGGGCAGGAAATAGTTTATATACTAATTTAAGTATAACCCTAGTACTAACTAACTACGTCTAACCTACGTTTCCTAGTAACCTAGTAATTACCCGTCGGCTAACTCTTACACCGATCCCGGGTAGATAGAAACCTCTAAGTTTAAGGAAGAGGTACTTTAGGTGCTTAGTAATAGTAGAGGTCTCTTTTCCCCTCCTTAAAAGATTAGGGGGTTTAGGATATCTACTTCTATTTTAGTAGGAGTAGAGGTTTTTTCTAGTATAGGTAGGGTTTGAAGAGTATCGAAGCATGTTCTAAGGGGTAGGGTAGATAGCCTAGGAATAGGCGTTAAGATTTCTTCCTATAGGCGTTAGTAGACTTTTTAGTTAAAGATAATTTTTATTATTTAAAACTAGTAGCGGAAGGTATTTTTAGTTAGTTTAATTCTAAAGCGAATTTTATAAGAAACTTAGTTTTAGACTATAGGGGTAAGTTAGCCGAAGATATAGTATTCGATAAGAAAAGTAGGGGGTTTAAGAACCCGGACTTATATTTTTGCTATAGTATTTACCCGAGGTATGTTATTCCGGGCTAGGACGTCTACCTAGGATAGAGATAGGATAGAGTCTATACGGTATCTTAGCGGGGAACGCCGAAAATTTTATCTACTAGGGGAACCGGTAGAGAGGTTTTTACCCGTAGTTAATATAATAACTAAGGCCTACGGCCTAGTGTAAGTTAGTCTATAAAGTAAGTAGGCTATGCTGATTCGTTTAATAGTATTTTCGAGGTTCTAGGAGCGCTAGTTATAGCGATCCTATTAGTGCGAGAGGTGAAGACGATAACTAGCTAGGAGTAGTAGTAGTTATTCTAGACTAAGCTAGGAACGCCCGATATAGTATGCTTAAAGGAGTTAGATCTAGTAATTTCTATATAGTATAAGCAGCCGAACTAATTGCTATTCTAATAGAGATAGAGCTAGTATCTAAAAAATACCTATAAGAGGGACCCTATAGCCTAACCGAATATATTATCTATAGCGACTCTAAAGCCGCCCTCTAAGCTCTAACTAGAAGATATAAAAAGAGATTAGGCTAAAGTATCGTACGGTCTATCCTTAGTATAGCCTAATCTCTCTATAAAAGTCTTTAAATAAGTTTTACGATCTAGTAGATCCTAAGCTACTATAGTATCTAAGGAAATAAGGAAGTAGATAAGCTAGCTAAATAAGCTATAATACGTCTTAGAGAATATAACTTCCTACTCTTAATACCGCTACAAGTTAAAATAACTCTCGAAGTAGTATATAAGCAATAAAATAAAGAATAGAGAGCGTTAGAGAAAGGCTAATACCTCCGTAACCTAGATATAGCGATTCCTAGACTATACGTAAGGTACCTCTACGATAAGCTCCTACGTAGCCTAGTAGAGCTACTAGCCTAGTTAAGAACTAGCTACTACTAGCTTAACTAGTACCGAAAACGAATAGGATAGATAAACAACGATAAATACGAATATAGAGATATAGAATTAATATTCTACGTATTACTAGACTATTCGCTACTCTAGGAAAATTAGTAAAAAATATATTAAGAAACCGGACTCTAGAGAAACTACCTCTCTAGCCTCCTAGGCGGTAAACCAATAGATAAAAACTAGCCTCATACGGAAAAGAGGAAATAGATAATTTTAGCCGCTTAACTTAAAAGGATACTTAAATTCGCTTAATAAATAAAAAGGTTCTAAAATAGAGACGACCTTATCTAGTAAAACCCATCTTATTCCTATTCTTCTACCTTTCCTTTATTTTATCTCCGTTCCCCTTCTCCTTATACTCTCTCAGATTGAAACACCAATATAAATTCCTAGCGTATTTCCTTTAAATAGTCTATAGCCTGTATATCGCTTAGGGCGATAGGTCAGGGTAAATAAATATAACTCAACTCAACTCAACTCATTCGGGGCCAAAAAGAAGCGCGGTCCTATAAATTTAATATTTAATAGCTTCGTAGGGCTTTACACAGTACACTTAACTCTTCTTAGATGTAGGAAGAATAAAGTCTTGTTGCAAATACTACCTGGACAAAGAGTTCACTGGTACAATGCATTGTAGTTATTTTCCCTAGTAGTTACAAAGCTGGACAAGGGCATCTCACGAGAGAAGTTCAAGCAACAAACGCGCATCAGTCTCTCATGAGTTAAAACTACAAGATTTCTTTCTAGTTAGCTGCAACTGCAACTATCACCGCAAACTCATCTCCTCAGTCTTCATATGCATTGAACGGTAGTGCATACATTAAGTACGTTAACAGAAGTGTAGTTATCATCCGCAGTCAAAAAGTCCGTAGACCGCGCAGCGTATACCTATGACCCATTCATCGTTGGTGTCGTCGCGTATACGGAAGGGCAGTCGCCACTGCACCAAAATGTTCCAATCATCCAAGCCTGACCAGTGGCATACTCCAAGCGGGCTGCCGCTTCCCCATTCCTTCATTATACCGAATCCGAATCACAAATGAAAACCTTCAAGAACGCGTTCAATTCTTTCCGAGTGTCTCATGCACCTCAACCTCCACCGTCCGCATGATTCTCGTATCGTCAAAACTCCTTCGCTTTTGACTCGCATCACTGTCCCCACACTCAGCTTTGTCGAACTCGTCGCCGGCATGGCACTTCGTCGTCAACATATGGTTCGGATGGCCCGCGATGAGGATATTTTCGTCAGATCCGTTCTCGACGAGCGTGTCTCTGTTTGCGGAGATGGAGGCGTGCAGCTTGCTGCGGGCCGTACGGTTCGAGTGCGAGCCCATCATCTCGAAGCCGGAGTGGCGGGCGTTGGAGTAGCCATTGGAGTAGCTGTTTGAGATTGTGCGCGTGCGCTCGCGGTGGATGTGCTTCCAGAGCCTTCGGTGGAGGTTAATTGCTGCGCTGTAGCACTGGGTGGGGCAAGGTGGAACGTACATAGGGATCATGGGGAAGCAAGAGGCGATAAGCCCGATGGCCACTTCGGCAATTCTACGCAGTAGTGTTAGCACGCTCGACCCGGCGGTGCGTAACCGAAGGTGATGTACTCACCCCCACAGATTAATCATCGTGAACGCCCACGTCTGATCCAGACTAGCGCTGTCATTGATAATCTCGACCAAGCGGACAAGACTGCACACGCAAGCGATGCCACCCGCACCAAAAACCGCACCGATTTTAAGCTTCGCCTTGGTGCTGACCTTCAGGAAGTTTGCCAATGGGCACGGGATTAGCAGCACCGCGATATCACTTATCAGACTGATAACATTGTCCGTCATAATCAGCGCGCGCTGATTGAAGCACTGCCCCTCGAGAGCCATGTTCCAGAATTTGGGGATTGGTCGGCAGATGAAAATCTTGAGGAAGAGCATCAGGGTGTAGTAGATACCCATGACGCCGAGGAAGGCGAATATGAAGCGACAGTACCTGTCAAAGGGTGCGAAGACTCGAGTGAGGAACAGGAGGATAGAACATTTCGTGGCGAAGACAGTGGGCCCGTATACCACCATTGTCGAATACACCGCCTGTGATATATCAGTATGTGATTCAAGTAGACGATGATGGATCTGGTTGCGCAAAGAGACCATTTCAGGGCGAGGTTGAAGGCCATGAAGGGGGACATACTTGCGAGTAGGGCGTGACTTTGTGTTTAGGGACCTGGAAGATGTCAATTAATTATTCGAAGAAACACACGCGACCCCTGATGCGCAGCAGAGGCATGCTGTGGCAGCGATAGATGACTTACATTCCACTGATTTATTCCTCCACCAAATCTGAGCACTGCACGGAAATTAGTTGTAGCTCCGGGCACCAGGAGATGCGAAAAACGAACTGAGCAGATCTATTGAAGAATAGCCAACAAAGCCAATATAAGCGAGTATGCATGATACTGCAACAACATCAATCTCGGCTGGTCAAGAGTATCTGTGGTGGCACAGTGACTCACTGTCGTCTATGCCAATTTTGGCCGTGACGCGGTATCTCGCCCATAACCTCAGGACAACTAACGTGGTGACAAAAGAGAGACCCAAGACGTTGACGGCCAGAGTCCAGTCGGCGACGCCTCTTGGGGGATTGTCAAAGTTGGGGGTAACTCCCGGGGGCGGGGTCAAGCCGGGCTCAATCATCATGCAAGATTCCCAGATTCCCAGGGACAAGAGAGAAGAAGCAAAGCAACGAGCGACTTGTAAGTGGGAACACGGCCTTGAAGAAGAAGATCCAAAGGGCCGGGCGGCAGCGGGTACAAAAGCAAAGGAATTCAAGTCGAGAACGAGCAGAAGTTCAGATCATTTCTGTTGCAGCAATGCGACCGACTGCAAGACGAATGCAGGCGGCGAGGAGGAAAGAAAAAGCACTGTGTGATAACGTCCCCAGAATCGCAGCGCACATCTTTCAGGAACCAACCCTATACTTGGGAAGGCGAATCCTATACCTGGTGTCTTCTTCTCCGACAATGTGGTTCGGGCGGAAATGTGATCGGACGCATGCGCGGCGGACTTCGTTGCAGGGCAAATCAAATCTCCCATTGAGGCCTTGATCGCTCCCGCTGCGCCCGCGGCCCATTATTGGCCGTATTCTCCTCATAATCAGGTGGTTTCAAGGCGCCAGGCACAGGGCCAACCGGATGGCAACGCGGGACACTTTGAGGCTGCGAAGCTGGTAAGCGAAGCAGCACCAAAACGCTGCGGGTCTAGAATTTCGTCAGGGTACGCTCAGGCCGAGGCAAATCAAGTTTATACTACCGAAGTTACTGCTGCGAATGATCGGATTGAAGCGAGTGTGAAGCGAGCCCGAACGCGTTACCCCGTGTGCCCTGGATTTTGACCGCCTTCTTTGTGGGGGTTGATGGAGGCTCCCCACTGTCAGGCAACCCGGCGCTTCGAGAAAGGCCGAAGGATGAGGTCCCGCTTCTCTCCCCCACACCCGGTCGATTGTTGCGGTACTCGGAAGCGAGCAGACCACCTTTTTTTCCAATTGTTATTGCCGCCATTGACTGCCTCGGTGATGGATACGCATTGCGTGAAGAAAGGTGGGAAGCCGGAAGACGGATGGTAGTGTGGAGCTTTCCTCGTGTGCTCGCCTGCGCCACTCTGCGGCCGGCCACCCCCTGGCGGTCCGTCTTCCCCGACCGTTGTCGCCGGTTGATGTGCACCCGCAATGCCACTCCCGGCCTTCCCCTTCAAACCCTATTCTTAAGCTCCGCTTTACTCGACTGGGGGCGTTCGCGTGTGACGGAGCTGCATAGGCGAACGGGTGTCAATCCCACATGCCTATTCCAGCAACACGGTTGACGTTTCAGCATTCGCGCATCTCGCGCATCTTCATTGACACGTCTATATCACCAACATTATTTCCCTCACTGCTCGCCACCATCACGTGCCCTAGAAGATAGCCATGGCATTCGGGGGAGATGATACACCGCCGGGCATGTTGAGCGGCACCGACGAGACGAAGAAGCTCCATCGGTTCAGTTCTTTGCATATCTCGGAAAGCCTCTCGAGATCGAACATCTCGCCTGGTACTGGTTAGCATGAACTTTGTCCTGCGGAAATTGTGCCGGAGCATGTACGTACCGACTGGCATGCCCCAGCCCGCGAGCAGGTATTCGTGGAGGAAAACACCCCCAGGAGGTGTAGGGTAGACCTGCAAACTGTCAAATAATCTATCCCAAGCATAGTCTAGTCGCCGCTACTTACCTCCCAGCTGATGGCGTCGCTTGCAACGGCTGCAAAGCCGGTGTTCCAAAGCCACCTGAGTACATCCATGGTGCCCTCGACACCGGCATGCTTTGGACTCGTGCCCGCGGCATAGGCCTTTTTGGCGTCCTCATTCATGGCAGTCTCCCACTCCTTGGTGATGCCGATGCGGATGAAGAGGATGTCGCCTTTTTCGAAAGTGATGTTGCATTCTTTTGCAATTTCCAATATGTCGGTCAACTTGACTTGGTGCAAAGAGAAAGTCGAATAGTTGATCCCTTTCTTTTCGGCCCATGAAACATAATCGATGAGCACTCCGCGTCCTACAATTGCGGTCAGAAAACTCAACGTCACCAGGAAAAGTCACACGCACCAACTATTCCCTCACGAGCCCAATGCTGCATGCCGATGCGGTTGTTCCCGCGATCCAAGATCTCAGCCTTGGTGGTACCGCCATAGAAGACGCGCTCGCTGGAGTCCGAACCAGCTGGTTGGGAGAAGTGGCGAAGTCCGTCCCACTGGCTGCTTTGCTCTGTCTATAGTCAGCAACCATGCGAGTATATCCCATCGTGAGATCGGGAGTGGGGGCGCACGTGGGTTCAAGGTATACACGTCGTCGAAAGCGGTCCCGTCCAGTAGGGAAACAATGTTATGCTGGCAAGGCTGACGGTTGAAGCATGCAAACTCGAGCTTAGTGAGATCCCATCCAAGCGTTACTCGCTTGCCCGTCTTGATCTCACCCGCTGCTGCTTTAGCGATTCTTTCTGAAGTGAGCAGCACCAAACGTCCCAAGCCCTCCACGTGGCTGCCCGGCTCGCCAATCCAGACTCGCTTCGGGTCGGGGAGCTCGTCGAATGGCACATCCATGAGAGTCGGTGAAGCCATATTGAGTCGTTTTTCTTGCTTTGAGTTTCCGAAAGAAGTTTTAGATAGTGAGTGTCGAAAAGAAATTAGGCTTTGCAAAGGCCGGCTTTTTCTGTCATTCAGAGAAAGGCGTGTTGCCAACAAGCTGCGTATCTTAATGTCAAGACTTGAAGCTCCAATACTTGGATTTTCGGCACAATCGACAGTGGCACGTTCCACCAGCTGAACACTGGGTTGCGTCGCATGTCAGGCGGGGGGGTGGGGTTCGCGCCAAGTGGGAACACGCCGGAGCACCCTTGTCCTGATCGGGGCCGTGACACGCGACGCAAAGGCAAGACAGAGCCGATCTGCAAGCAGATGAAGCACCCACACTACTTGCACACGCCCCGCATATTCTTTCCTTCACATCTGGGATCGGGAGCGGGAAATGGAGCTATTGGAAAGGCCTTGCATAAGCTCCGCGGTTGTTATTCGGCTGGTATCCCTTGATATAGGTGTCTTCGCTCTCAGCAATTTCTCCTCGATTCAAGAGTTGGAGACCAGCTGCTGCTGCAGAAGTATCGGCTTTTGAAACTGGCGAAACATCAACCACAATGGCGAAATCCGGGGCACAGACGAGCGTCTACAACAAGCTCGTTATTGCGTTTGTCGCCTTAGGGTCGTTGGTGAGTGTCTTGCGCTCAGTGTTTCCTTATATGCAGGCTGACCAGTTCTTTTCAGACCTATGGGTATGCGTCATCCATTATCAGCAGCACGATTGGAGAGGCCGGCTGGTACACATACTTCAACCTGCCTGCCGAGGGTGAACCTGGCTATGCTAGCGTCACCACGCCTGTCATTTCGACTGCCAATGGCGTCTTCAGTGCCGGCGGTGCAGTCACTGCGCTATTCACGATGTGGTTTTGCGATGCTTTTGGTCGAGTCGGGAGCATCCAGCTGGGCTGCCTTTTCGGCATGCTAGGAGGCGCCCTGCAGGGAGGTGCAAAGAACATCGAGTGAGTGTTTCCATCATGAAATGGCTACACTGATTGCTAACGCGCAATAGGATGTTCCAAGCTGGACGATTCATCATGGGAATGTATGTTGAGACTTCTCCGCACAGATGATCCTCCGCCTGCGCATCCTGTATGATTGCTGACTCCTGGAACACAGGTGCGTCGGAGTCATGGTTACAACCACCCCAATGTACCTCTCCGAGATGGCCAGCCCGAGCTCACGCGGTTGGATCGTCGGCCACCACGCTATTTTCCTCGTTTTCGGGTACATGCTCGCGGGCTGGATTGGCTTCGCCATGTACTTTGCGCCAAAGGAGTTCGGATGGCGCTTTCCGCTGTGTTTCCAATGCCTTCCGCCTCTCATCCTCTTTGCCGGCTCTTTCTGGGTCCCGCGTTCTCCGAGATGGCTTGTCTCCAAGGGCCGAATGGAAGAGGCGTGGACAGTTCTTCAGCGGCTGAGACGTTCACCAGACGACCCTAATGATTTGGTTGCGAAGGAAGAGCTGTTCCAAATCAAGGAACAGTTGAAGCTTGACCAAGAGAAATTAGTGGCATACGGAGGTAGCCCATGGAAAGCAGTCATCAAGAAGAGAAGCTACCGCAAGCGGATGATCATTGGATTCCTGACACAATGGGGCGCTGAATTTGGTGGTCCCCTCATCATCGTAAGTTTGATGGCCTTCTTAGCAAACACCTGCTAACGTGAGAAAGAACAACTATGCCGTTCTTCTCTACAACAACCTCGGCCAGACGGGCTACATGCCTCTGCTGCTCTCGGCTGTTTGGCTCACCACTGCCGGTCTGATCTACAACCCCGGAGGCGCGTGGCTCCACGACAAGGTCAACTCGCGTCGCGGCATGTTCATCACTGGCTTCTGCGGGATCGTGGTGACCACTTCTGTATTGGCTGCCATGACAGCCCAGTATGCAGGCACCAGCAACACAGCTGGTAATGCCGTCGGTGTACTCTTCATGTTCTTGTACCTTGCCATGCAAGGAACCTGCTGCGACACGACGATGTACTTGTACATCTCGGAGATTTTCCCCACGGAGATTCGTGCAATTGGAATGGGATGGTCGCTTTTTGGGCAGTTTGCCGGTAAGTATCCGTTCGCGCAAGTGCAGAGACTAGTGCTGACCAACACCAACAGCCACGCTTGTGCTTTTGCAGACGGCTCCGACTGGGTTTGCCGAAGTGGGCTGGAAGTACTACCTTGTTATCATCTGCTGGAGCGTCTTCTTCATCCCGGTCATCTACTTCTTCTGGCCCGAAACGGCGCAGCTTTCGCTCGAAGAGATTGGGAAGAACTTTGGCGACGAGGTCGCCGTGCACGTCAACGATGCGAGTGAAGAGGAGAGACACCGCCTTGACCAGGTTCTTGAGAAGACAGATGTGCTCAAGAACGGGAGCGTCGTCAGCAACAGTGGAGGTACCAGCCCGGCAAGCGTTGAGCAGAATGGCGAACGAAAGGTCTGAGGGAATCGAGAGGCTTCTGCTTATTTCTTTGAACGTTCATTTTCTATTGCCAATTCCGTAAGTACTTTTTAACCATTGCCAAAATACTTCATATTAGACATTGTAGTTGTAATTCTTCAATCGAGGATTGCTTTTCCTTCGACCCGAGGGCATGAGATGGGTGACATCAGTCGATGCGGCGAAGCAGGTATCCACAGTGCAGGCTGGAGGCCTCATTCGCAATTGGACGCGCGGACATGGGGGCGAGACAGAGGCTACGCCGTGTGGCAGTTCTCGAAGGTATAGTAAGCGGTACTATAGATAGATCTGACATCCACGTACGGAGGCCGTCACACCGCTCGGCAGGCACAGCTGGCTGCAGAGCCATCCGAAAGCGTCGTCGAGAGGCATTGATCTGCCAAGCGTCAGGAGAGTGGCATTGTTGTCACCTGCAGCGATGCGGCGTGGCGGCGAAGAAAGTGTCGATGGTAATCAAAAGACGGCGGCGCAGTTGCCGAGTTGATTGTGCGGGGTCCGCTCTGACTCTCGCTTCCATCGGACGCGGAACGGGGAGCTGTGCCGCCCGCTTGCGCCCGTCGATCCCCACGTCCCAACACCAAACCTTCTCATCACCTCGGAATTGCTTTGTACAATATCTACGAATCCGTACCCGCGTCCAGCCTCTCGGCACCAGCCCTCCCCTATTGCGGATTCGCGCGCATGCTCGGCGTTTCATCAGATCGCCCGCCCGCCGTCCACGTCCAGGTTCACGCCCGTGACAAACGAGGCCTCGTCGCTGGCCAACCACACGGTCGCGTTGCTGACATCGCGCACCTCGCCCAACCTGCCCAGTGGGACGCTTGCCGTGATCTGTGCCCGCATCTCCGGGGTTATTTCTTTGCCGATGAAGGTCTGCAACAATCCCGTCGCCGTCGCCAGCGGACAGACCGAGTTGACCCGGATCTTGTGCGGTCCATACTCGGCTGCGAGGCCCATTGTGGCCTGTGGAATTGTCAGTCAGCGCGTCTTGTGTTTGCGCTCACGTCAACCTACGTTTGCGACGGCCCCTTTGGATGCGTTGTACCACACCAGTCCTGGGCGCGGTCGATGAACGCCAACCGAGGCGATGTTGACTATGACACCACCGGTGCCCTGCTTTATGACGCGTTTGGTGAAGGCATTGCTCCCCAGGAAGACGCTTTTGACGTTGACAGCAAAAACCTTGTCGAACTCTTCCTCAGTCACCTCGTTCGTGGGCTATGTTTGTTGTCAGTGAAAGACATCCTACCTTGCTAACATTGTGCATACCTTGTTCTTGTATGAAGTTCCCGCATTGTTAACTAGAATGTCTATTTTCCCCCAAGCTTTTATCGCCGCGTCTATGGCGGCATCCCATTCAGCTGCCTTGGACACGTCCATCTTTTGGAACGCGAAGGCATCCGATGTTGTGGCGAGTTTCTCGCCTCCCTCAGCGTTGATGTCGCATAGCAGCACGTTAGCGCCCTCTTCAGCGAAATGTTTCGCGATGGCTTCCCCAAAGCCGGAGCTAGCGCCTTGTGCTCGTCAGCAACTGTGGGTGCACCACGCATTTCGGGCGAGTACATACCTGTTACGATAGCGACTTTGCCTTCTAGACGCATGCTGGCGGTGCAACGTTGATGAAAATGACAGTTGGATGAGAGATGGTGGACTTTTTGTCTTTAAAAGACGGATTGGGTAGCACAGAATGCGGGGTTGGTCGCATGTACTTACCCCCACCCTTCTCTACCCCTCCATTACTTCCTCCATCAACATCACGCGTCATCGACGTCCATTAAATACCTTGGCCTCTCGGACTATCTTCCAAACCCAAACTTATCACTGCGACTGATTTAATTCACCATGACGTACAAGCTGCCCTTCAGCGTTAGTACTTCCTTTGTACATGAGCTCTGCGATTTGCTAACTTATTTTTCAGCTCGAGCGACCGGACCTGCTCAGCACACAATCTTATGTTGGAGGTCAATATGTTTCTGCTCAATCAGGATCGACGTTTGATGTCATTGGTTAGTGTTGCAGATCTGCCGGCCGGAAACAGATCATGAAGCTTACCCAATCTACAGACCCTGGAACGAACAAGCCCTGGGCCCAAGTAACCAACAACTCAGCGGAAGACGTTCCCTCAGCCGTGGCTGCAGCTCACGAGGCCTTCCAACATTATCGTACCGTGTCTCCACGTACGCGGGCACAATGGCTTTACCGCTGGGACTCGCTAATACGCGAGCACAAAAATGACTTGGCCACGATCATGGTCTACGAAACTGGCAAGCCATTTGCTGAGGCGATCGGGGAGATGGACTACTCTCTCAGTTTCACTTGGTGGTTCGCTGGAGAAGCTGAACGGATTCAAGGAACAGCATTCCAGCCTGCTCTGCCAAACCGCCGGGTGCTTACAATCAAGCAGCCCGTTGGAGTTGCGGTTGCACTCGTGCCGTGGAACTTCCCCGTAGCGATGGTTCTCAGAAAGGCTGGCGCGGCACTGGCGGCGGGTTGCACGATGATCGTGAAGCCGTCGCCCGAAACGCCATTGACCGCACTGGCTCTTGCGAAATTGGCAACTGAGGCCGGTTTCCCGTCCGGAGTGCTCAACATCCTGCCGACGAGCCTTGAGAATACGCCGTCCTTGAGTGAGGCTCTTTGTCGCGATAAGCGTGTCAAAAAGGTCACTTTTACGGGTACGTGCGTGCGCATCCATTTCCTGGCAATAGACTGACAAACTGTAGGCTCAACGCGTGTTGGCAAACTAATTGCCAACCACTGCAGTGACGGCTTGAAAAAACTTACCTTGGAACTCGGCGGAAATTGTCCTGCCGTTGTCTTTGACGATGCCGATCTCGAAGGCGCAATCGGGCAACTCATTGCACTCAAATGGCGGCACGCCGGGCAAGCCTGCATCACCGTAAACCGCTTCATCGTGCAGTCGGGCATCTACGACGCCTTCATCGAGCGCTTCAAAGCCGAAACCGCCAAACTCGTCGTCGGGCACGGCGCGGACAAAGGCACAACGCTCGGCCCTGTGACGACGCCGCGCGGTGTCGATCGCGCCGAGGCACTGGTCAAAGATGCAGTGTCCAAGGGCGCGAAGCTCGTGCTCGGCGGGAAGCGCACCAACCCCAACGGCTCCGAGGGCTACTTCTTCGAGCCAACGATCTTGGTCGACATGAATGCGGAGACCCAGGTCTCCTGCGAGGAGTGCTTCTGCCCCATCGCCGCGTTCTATCGCTTTGAGACGGAAGAGCAAGCCGTGAAGATGGCGAACGATACGCCCATGGGCTTGGCGAGCTACGCCTTTACGAGGGATGTGAGCCGCATCTGGAGACTGTTTGAGAACTTGGAGGCGGGTATGATTGGGTTAAACACTGGTGAGTCATCGTGTGCTAATGCTTCTGGTTTGTCTTTGGTGGGGAATGCTTACGTGTGTGCGAAAATAGGCAACTCGTCAGCGGCCGAGTCGCCGTTCGGCGGCATCAAGGAGTCGGGTTACGGTAAGGAGTCGGGCAAGGATATCGCTGTGAGCGAGTACATGGTCACGAAGACGGGGACGTTTACTGTGGATGGCCTTTGATTCGAGTGGCTCTTACGCCGAAGGGATCGACTTCATGGGTAGGTTTAGGTATGTTGAAAATGAGTCTTCCCTCGCTGTCTCAGAGATCTGAGATTACGCAGTGGATGCTCAATGCCAAAATAAAACGGTTGTTGATGGCTCCGGCTGAATTTCCCACCATTTGGTTGGCTATCAACATTCAACAAAAGCCTGCGTATCTATCAAGCACTCCTTAGGGGGTTGTGTGTCGCTTCGACTTGATACTTAAGTGATTGTTACATATACACAAAGCCAAGATGTTGTGGGTGCCAGAGCACCCCAACAAGGGTACGAGGATACAAGGAAAAAAGTAAGTCATGTACCCTTGTAGAGTGCGGAATAGTCTAGTTCGACCCCGGGGTCGGTCAAGACTATAAAAATCGTTCTTTATTTAGCACGGCCTAGTCCCCTCTAGACAGAGGGATAAATAGGTCGTAGTCGGGTCGTAGACCGTAATATTTACCAAGTAGCCTTTCTACGCGAAGGTATAATGCTAGGTGGTCTCTCTAAATACTACGTAGTCTTTCCACACTGTTAAGTGGCCGGTACTAGAAAAACTAAGTTAACACGTTATACTTTAGGCTGCATTTTAGGCATTCTTTAGCCTGGCTAAGCCCGACCAAACCAGGTCGGGTCGTACTTTAATTAGCACGACCCGTCCCGGGCACCTTCGACCCGCCTGAACCTCTGGACGGACTATATTCTGGACTGGATCGTTCCGCACTCTGTACCCTTGAAACAAAGGCTGAGCCAACTATCCGCAGCCTTGTGGATGACGACAAAGAAGGAGTCTTTGACCAAAAATGTCGACGGTCGCATCTCTTGGTCGGTCCATTCACCACATTGGTATAGTTGTCTCCGAGCCCAGTCGTGCTAGGTGCAGTGTACGTCGTGTTGTAAGTTTTCCGTTCATATCATGGTCATTTCTGCATGTTCACTCCACTCTCTCACTTTGACGCGCCAGTTACTCTGCAGTTGTTTCTATTGTCAGATGCTGCATGAGCTCAAAACTTGCAATTCAGCCCCCACACTAATTCAGTAAATCGCCCCCACCCATAAACAATGCCTAAGACAGGCATGTTCTTCTGTCTTGATTGGTAGGTTAATATCAAATGTGGAGAATGTGGCTGTGGTACTGATGCTTCCATTGCTTACGTGCATCGTACGGACTTCTCGGCACTTCAAGTTCTCTATATTTGAATAGCCGAGATGTTGCTTCGACCAATAATATCTTCCGGCATATCTACGCTTGGCCTATTAGTCCACCGGATCTTTTGTTTGGCAAGACCGGGTTCATTGAGTGCTGCAAAATTAGAGAACAGTGGCATGGTGCCAGTTGCCTTGGGAGCTGAGCGCGGCTGCTTTTTAAAAGGCCTGTAGACACTTCGAGGGCTATCATCAACTTTTCTTGACGCGTTTCTCTTTCAACACTATGTCTTCTCTCGATGAGATCTACCAATCAAGCTCATACGGAATTTACACCGGAGTTTGGACCAACTGGAGCAAAGGACGTATTTTTGGGGCGACATTGACAGTGAACAGGCGCGAGGGTGCACTCTTGATTGCCTTCCTCGCGCTTTTTGTCAGCGTTGTCGGAACCCATTTCTGGAGAGTTGCTTGTTTCGCGCTTCACCGTGTGTTTTCTACCGAGGCAGCACAGGATGCTCTCCATCATCAGCGCCAAATAATCCTTCGGAATTCGGCCAATGGTACAAGTGGCCTTGTCAACCTAGCCAATATTCTATGGACGTGGAGCCGGAAGAAGCTTGTCAGGAAGCCTTACCAAAGGACTCTACCGCTAATTGGTTTTGCGCTACTCTGCATGGTCGCTTTTGGTCTGGCAGGTACCTTTTCCTCTAAAATATCTACTGCATCAGGAAACGACGTCCTTATCAAAGGTTCAAACTGCGGAATACTAGACTCCGAGGAATACCTCGATTTTGCCACCCAAGTCGCATACTACTTCTCGTCCATGTCTCAATACGTAGACTCCTGGACAAAATACGCAGAAGAATGCTATATGGGCAGCTCTGGAATGCAGAACTGCGACGCCTATACGAAGCAACGACTACCAACTAAAATTTACCGGAACGCCAGTTGTCCTTTCGAAGAAGATATGTGCAAACTCAAATTTGGCAACATTGTATTCGATACCGGCTATCTGGATAGTAACTCTGACCTTGGCATCAACGCCCCCGCAAATGAACGAATTTTGTTTCGCCGTGTTTCTAGCTGCGCTCCGCTCGAAACAGAAGGCTTCCAAGACTCTTTCCAAATGTCTGGGGAAAATTTCAACCACACCCGATATAACTTTGGAAAGGCCATGGACGGGCTCGGGACTTATTATAACCAAAGCACCTACGAGCACGCAGATTTTACTTGGACGAAAGATGGAAAAAGGCTAGTTCCATACAATACACCTGAAACCTATGAGCTTTTGTAAGTTCTACGCCCTTTTTAGTACAGGCGGGTGCAAATTGAGGCAGAGATGAAGACTAATAATATGTAGCTTAAGCACCGCATTCGTTTTAAACGGATCAAATTTTGTTAATCGATCACAATTTGACATTATCCCTAAACTGCAACAAAAAGACGCGGACATACATTTATTATTTTTATCTGCCAACAAGGTGTTAGTACTCTCATCAACCCGTTCAGTAACCGACCCTAACTGCATTTTCTTAAAAAAAATAATTAGGAGCTATACAGACCCCATAAACGACACGTGGTTTTCAGCTCATTACCCGAGTGGTGTAAATAAAAATAATATGACCACTCGCCTCTATGGGGCAGATCGCTCTGGCTCCTTGTTAGCTTGCTCTGTCAAGGAACAGTACTGCAATCCGAATCTTCCTTTAGCCAGCCGTTGTTCACCTTTTGGAGGTACATATGAATCAGCTGCGTTGGCAGAAGGGCTCTGGAAAGGTTCGAAGCACAAAATAATCTTCAATTGGGTAAGCAGTATTATCACGGCTTACAGTACCACTATTTTGGATGTTGCTGGCATGCTGGGCGCGTCTTCCTTGTTGGCTCGTTATAGGTCCCAACTATGGGTATCCGGCCCACTACCGGACAACCAATGGCAACTAGAATTGGAACACTGGCATGCAGCATCCCTTCTTAGTGCACAAGGAATGATGGCTATTACGGCAAATGGGCCATCTGACTCACGCCAAAGTCCGTGGTTGCGAAAGCCAAACAATACAATAGAGGAAAACCTGTGCCGAAGCCAAGTACTTGATCCATCCAATTCACTCTTCGCATACACTAACGGCCCTTCAGAAAATTAAAAGCCTCGAACACACAAACTTCTCGGTATTTGGCCTCAGCTTCACTCTAGCACTTGGATTCGTCATTATATGCTTAGCATATACCATAGAGCCACTAATAAACTGGATCCTAAGACGCTGTAAGCGCAATCCAGACGCATATAAGCGGCTCGAATGGACAACAAACAACACATTGCAACTACACCGACTTGCTCATGAAGAGCTAGGGATTGGCACATGGGCTGAATGTGCAGGAGATGTTCCCGTTACCGAGAAAGGGCAACGGTTAGCTGTCTTGGATCTGGACGACCAGAACCACCCTCGGCTGAAGGCTCCTCCACCTATCCTCGACCTAGTTATCGGCTCTGAAAACAGCGAAGGTGGTGTCACACCTGCAAAAGAGAACATATCACGTTCCTTAAGTGCAGAACAAAGCAACAACACCAGCCGTACGAACATCTCCGCAGACCAGCAAAAGAACTCAGAGCCCACTACTGAGACCGACGAAGACGATAACTCTACAAAAGAAAACCCCTCGCGACCTTCGACCGCAGAAGAAGAAACCAACAACGGCAGCCGTACGGATAGCTCCCCTGCCCAGGGAAGGACCTCGGTGGTGTCGACGTTGACAACTTTCGATGAAGATGCGTAACGGTGTCGAGGTTTTTGTGCTTGAGCGTGATGGGTATGGACAGGTAGACCAGCGTTGCGTAATTAAGTTTCTTCCTCATACCCCTGCATGCCGGCATTGTCTTCTTCTCGTGCTTCTTGACAGCAACATCAACAAGACCTGTTACCATAGGCAGCTCGTCTCCACGTCCGGACGGCGCTGTCCAGTGTCCACCACCAGCCAGCCGCAGATACAGCAAACCAACCGCGCGACCTTCTCCTCCGTCCTCTCAGAACACATCTTGAAGGGCAACGATATAAGAGAAATCAAAACCCCTCGAATCTATCCTTGCGTGCACGATGAGAACCTAAACAGTACACTATCTCCCACTCCTCAATCCTCTGTATTTATAATCCGCATCAGGACGAACCAACTCCTACAGTGTTGAAGCAAATGTCGGCCACGGTAAGTTATATCGCGCCTTTGTCTTCACTGTCAGCCACCACACCCCTCTACTTAACCCAAATCTACACCTAGACCTTCCTAGTCCCCTCCACAGACCCTCCGCAAATACTCCGCACCCGCGCACATACGCTTCCCTCCTTGCGCGATCGGGTGCGTTGACGTGACCGTCTACCGTATTTTATTTCCTTGTTAAGCTAGACATAAGACAGAGCTAATGCGTGTGCGTTTTGGTTTTTTGTGCGCGTTCGTGGGGTGCGGGTGGGTTGGTGTTGATGGCGGCGGAGGGTGTGGGTGCGTGGGTAAGTCGTGGCTGCTATGGGGCGTTGGGGGGTGGTGGTGGGGCTGTTGGGGTTGCTTGCTGTTTGAAACTAGGTTTCTCTATACATTTCGGTAGCTCCATTAATGCAATGAAGCTAGTTTTGTAATGCTAAATAAATGTTTTCAGTCAACCGGGAAGCTGTTCACGATCTCATGGAGCGGCCACGAATAATCCAGCAAGCTCCCATTTTGCGAGTAAACCTCACTTCGCAAAGCAACAAGGTGAAAAGCTACCCAAAAGCTCATGACTTCCCTAAAATACGTCTACACAAACCTAGAGCGACCAAACCTCCTACCTCCCCCGCCATCACATGGCAAACTCCCAACTCTCGGTCGTGAGCACGGGCCACGCATTGAGATCAGCAAACAGCTCGTCCCACGCGTCGACACCAACATCAAACCCCCAATCCACATCGCCGCCCTGCATCCAAGCATCAAGCTCGCCATCGCCGTGCGCGCCTACCGCAGCCTGCTGCTGCCCAAAATCCGGCAATGGCTGTTTCTCGCGACTGCCGACAGCGGGGCTGGTCGCAGCAGCAGCAGCAGCGGCCGCGGACGCCGCGGACGCCGCGCCCGCCGCAGGCAGGCTGATCTTGTGCTTTTGGAGTATTTCGTCCAATGACGCGAGAAAGCTCGCTGCCAGCGCTGACCCCCGCTTCACCCGCTCGAGCATCTGGCACGCTTCGACGATCTCAAGCTTCCGCTGCTCCTCCTCTGGTCCGCGCACCTTGGTCGATGACAGGTCCACGACGAGCACCACCGCGGCCAAGGATACGTGATGCACGACCATACTGAGCCTGGCCAGGTCAACAGGCTGCTTATTCCCGGCGTCTTCCAGTAGGCGCGCCACCTGCAGCACGGTGCGCGACGATTCCAGACAGGCCTGCCTGGCGAAAGCGAATTGCGGCTCGTGGAACCCGCGCACTAGCCACGGCTGATGCAGCCTGCTGCGCCTGGTGTGAGCGCACAAGTGGATCAGGCACCGTTGCGTGCTGAGGTGAGGGAACTGCTGGTTGAAACACTGGCTTTCCCGACGGCTACGATCGTCGAGCTTGAAAAAGAATGGCAAGCCAGCGAGATAGTGCTCAAACTGACGGTTTAGGTCGCGTAGAGTCTCGCAGTTCATCAGAGACGGCTCTAGCTGAAGATCCGTCATGGCATCGGCAATGTTGCGGCATATCTCCGACATCTGGATGCGTTGCATGAAAAAGGACATGGTGCTAGGCTGCGACGGCGGGCTCTGTCGCCTCTGCTCCAAATCTTGATCACCGGCGTTCCGAGGGAGCTTCACAATCATCTGGCGCGGTTGAGCGAAATACGTGCCCTCTTGGGGACCTGGCGTGAATGCGAGAAGCCTGCACGACAGTCAGCAAAACACGAATCACAACGGCGGCGGAGAGAAGAGGCCGCACCAATCCGACGAGACGAGATGCCACCACACGCGCCTCTTGACTTCGGCCACAATCAGGCTGTCACGCAACGAGGAATTGGTGGGGCTGTCAATCTTGTGCAAAGAGAGGCTACGCGCCATGTTCAGGGCGGTAGTGTTAAGGAGATGGTAGCGAGCCAGGCAACCTTGGATATTGTACTCGAGGTAGTAAACGATAATGGTCGCTTGCACGTCCTCGAGACAAGCCGATGAAGTGCGACGCGAGTGCTCCAAGATGGCGGAGGCGGCATCGAGCCACAACGACGACGCCTGACGGGCATCTGCCGACGAGGCGAACATGGCTACGTCCTCGTTCCAGAAGTAGGCGGCGCCGGCGAGCATACTGAGGATCAGGGCAGCGTGAGCGGGCCCAGCTTGGGACAGCGGACGGCTGTAGACGTCATGAATCAAGGCGAGCACCGAGGGTGCGTGGATGATGTGGTGCAGGTAGTTGACATGAGCGCTGTAGTGTCGAAAGAGGGCGACGGTCTCATCCCTGGTCGGCAAGCAAATGGACGAGCCACGACGCGACGCGGCTTGGGAGATGTGCGCGACAGGTAGCAGTTCCAACTTGAAGGGCCAACTGGACTGGATGGGCGTGCCGGCGATGCAGTCGATGGAAGAGGCGGGCGTCAATGGCTCAGTTTCGGAGCCAGACAATGGAGGAAGAGTGGATTTGCGAAGAGCTTCGACAGCTTCCTCGAGGCGATGCAGTCGGGCCTGGACGTCCGGGTCGTTGTCGCGCGTTGTGGGAGCGGGAGTGGCGGTGATGGGGCGTGCGGACTGCGACTGCGAGATACAATCGACACCGCGCGAGCAGCAATTGGCGCATGGCTGTTGTCGGTCGCAACGCAGTTTCTTGGAGCGACAGAGCTGGCACGATACGGGCTCTTGGCGCGGACGCTTGACGGCCATGAAGGATGAGGATTGGGAGTTCGGAAAGTCCGCGGGCGCTCCGGGGGGCAGGCGCGCTTTAAGTAGTCACCACCCACACCACCCACACCACCCACCACCACCCACCACCACCACAGTCATGACTCAATCCAGCGAGACCAGGCGAGTCAGTCCGTATCCTTCCTCGACCTTCCCCTTCTAACACATCATCAAACTTCCCAGCTCCCGCGCTCTGCTCGTCCTCCTCGGCGCCTTCCTCGCTCTTTTCTGCAGCGTCGGCTTCCTCAATTCCTTCGGTGTCTTCCAGGACTACTACATGTCCCATCAGCTCTCCGATTACTCGGAATTCCAAGTCTCATGGCTCGGCTCCTTCCCCATCTGCATCATGTACATCCTCTCCCCGCTGGCTGGCATCCTCGTCGACCGCATCGGCGCCCCCATCCTCATATTTGGCGGCGGCATTGGCACCCTGCTCGCCGTCTTCATGACTTCGCTCAGCTACGAGTACTACCAATTCTTTCTCGCCCAAGCCTTCCTGCTCGGCGCCAGCATGACCTTCGTCTTTTGCCCCGCCGTCGCTACCGTCTCCAAGTACTTCCACAAGAACCGTGGCTTGGCCTTGGGTATCGCTATAGCCGGCTCCTCCACCGGCGGCATCATCTGGCCCATCGTCCTCGACCAGCTTCTCAACCACGACGGCGTGAGCTTCGGCTGGACTCTTCGCATCATCGGCTTCATCATGCTGCCGCTCCTCGTCATCTGTCTGACGACTGTGCGACCGCCTCTGGAGCCGCCGCAACCGCCTTCGACCGACGAGGACGAGAAGACCCCATCGGAGCCGAAAAAACAAAAGATAGATATTTCCATCATCAAGAACCCCACGTTCCTCCTTCTCAGCGCCGGCCTCGCCATCTGCTACCTGGGCATGTTCAGTCCGTTCTTCTACGTCACGTCGTACTCTCGCTCTCTCGGAATGTCGACAAGCCTCTCCTTCTACATGGTCTCCGTAGTCAATGCCGCATCCCTGTTCGGGCGTGTCCTGCCCGGCTTCCTCGCGGACCGCTACGGTCACTTTAACCTCTGCGCCGCCGCTGCTCTGACTTCCGGCATTACCGCCCTCTGCTGGACTGCCGCAAAGAATGAGGCCGGAGTTATTGTCTGGTCCCTGTTCTATGGATTTACCTCTGGGGTATGTTATTCGCTTTTCCCCTTTCATCTGACCCTGCTGACAGAAAAAGGCCATCATGAGCCTTCAAACAGCCTGCGTGGCTCGAATTGCAACAAAAGAAACACAGGGAACGGCCGTCGGCTTCTTCATGGGCTTGCTCGCTCTGACGTAAGCCGGAATGTCTTATTGCAATTTAAAGGGTTTCGTTGCTGACTTGTCCTTTAGAGCACTGTTTGGTACGCCGATCAGCGGACAGCTAGCCGGCTCTTACGGTTACCTCGCCTTGTCCTTGTATTCTGGCGCCACGTTGATCGCTGGCTCGCTGTTGATTATTTGGGCTCGCTTGAGGCTCGAACGGAATCTGTTTGCGGCAAAGTAGACGAAGCCACGGGTAATTATATAACTTTATATAAAGGATATTATAGGGCTGAATTGTCTCAGATGGTGAGTAGCAATCTGCTAAGCTTATAGATATAATTAATATTGGATAGATGCGTTTAGATGTAGACCAAAGACAGTACCTTTAAGGGATTTCTTTAGGCATTGTTTATCGCACTATACAAAAAATATCATATTCAAGGCCGCCCTTGGACTTAATAGTTCGCCATTTGTATATTTTTTCTTAATTAAACTCCAAGGTCGTTTCCTGCATAAATGCTATCCTCTGTGAGAACAACACCCTAATGCCAGTACTTCAAAGGCAGCGCCCTGGTATGCTCCCAGCCAGCATCCAACGCATCCACCACATCCTGCGGCAACGGCCCCTGCTCCAGCGCCACCAAGTTCTCCTCCAGATGCTTCGTGCTGCTGGCACCAACAATAACCGCATCATTGTACTCCTTCTTCAACGCCGAATGATGCGCCAACCACCGCAACGCGGCCTCGGCCTCGCTAATCCCGTGCTTGGCAATCACCGGCCGCAGGATATCCAGCGCCTTGAAGTTCGGCTCGTTCCAGTACCGGCTCTGGTGCAGCTGGCCCTGCTTCCTCTTCGGATCAAAGCGCGAGCCCTCCTCGAACTGCTCCTGGCCGCGGTGGTAGCGGCTCGTGAGGAAGCCGCCCGCCAGCGGGTTGAACACGTACAGCGAGATGCCGTAGTGGCGCAGGCAGGGCACCAGCTCGGCCTCGACGAGCCGGTTCTGCGCGTTGTACAGGCCCTGGTACACGGAAGGCTGCACCCAGCCGTGCCGCTTTGCGATCTCGCACATCTGCGCCACCTCCCACGCCTGGAAGTTGCTGAGCCCGAAGCGCTCGAATCGCCCCTCTTTGTACAATGCATTGACCTCGCGCAGCGTCTCCTCGAACGGCGTCGCCCGGTCCGGCCCGTGCAGGTAGAACATGTGCACCTTGTCGGCGCGTAGGGCCTTCAGGCTATCCTGCAGTCCCCTGCGCACGTCGGCGGGTGAGTGTGTGAAGTCCTCGGCAAAGAGCCAGCCCATGCCTTTGCCCTTGGTTGGGTACAGCTTCGTCTCCATCCGGATGCCTCGCTCCTGCCACTGCGCGGCCCCGAGGTACTCTTCCGTCGTGCCGCCGCCGTAGACGCGCGCCGTGTCGATCTCGTCGTGCCCATGTGCTTGGAAGACGTCGATGAGGGCCGCGGCGTCTTCGTGCGTGGTTACGCGCATGCCTTCGCGGCCTGGTGGGGGTGGGGGCGTTAGTTGCGGGAGCCTTGGGAGGGGAGGGGCTTGACGAACCTGCCTCTCCGATTGTCATGGCGCCGAGGACGACGCCGATGTTGCTGGTGGGTTGCTTGGTTGCCATTGTGAAGATTTGGTGATGGTGAGAAATGTGGTAAACTTGTTAAAGCTGAGGTAAGGACGTGGGTAAGGCAAAGGAAGAGCTGGAAGAACAGTGCGAGTCCAATAGCACCAAGGACGGCCCAAGAGAATATAAATACAAGAGCCCAACCTCAACGCCATGGAGTTACCACGCTTAACTCCAACAGCGCTGCTCATGGGCGTGACGTGATGGCTGGAGCTAAGCGGCTTAACTCCGCAAACTCCAATTCCTCGGTGGCACTCTCCCTACACTAGTGCTTAAAGCTATTTAAGAGTGGGGCCTAAAGGGGGAATTCTTCGGGATTGCCCCGTCTTAACGTCTGGCGTTGGTTGGGCGGGCAGTTCTTTGCTATTCTGGCTGGATGTAAGGGGCTTTTGCGTTTTCGTCGGCTCATCACCATCTGATGATGATGGGCTGTCGAGAAAGTGAATGAAAGGAACAGCTAAGAATGGCTTTCCTTGCGCGAGAGGTGGACAAACACAATTGCAGTGACGGCACTGTCATATCATGCATCTTCCGTTTATCACCCAATCAAAACAATTCCGCATCACACCAGCTAAGATTTGTCTCCAAACTACCTAGTACCTTCTCCAAGTCATCGCCACCAGCTCAAGGAAACCTAATGTACACCTTGATCTCCTCATGCTGATCAAACCGTCTATAGTACTCCGGCACATCCTCAATCCCAATAGCCGCTGTCTCAATGAAATGCGGGCTCGCCCTCCCCGCCGAAATAAGCTCCGCAAGCTGCGGCGCAAGCTCCTTCGGATCAACAACACCAGCACGGTAGCCCAACCCTTTCCCAAAGAAGTCCGACACAGGGAACGAGATGTCGGGGCTGATATCGCCGGCATTCGGCGCACCCGAGCTCGCTTCCTGCGCCATGTACACGCCAATCTGCCCGATGCCGCCGCGCGCCCGCGTCACGCCCACCATGTTCCGCAGCACGATGTCCTGCTGCGGCTCGCCCGCCGCGTTGACGGCTTCCTCGCCCACGCAGTCGACCGCGCGCACGACGCCCCCCGGCTCCTGCGCCAGGATCTGCTGCACGGGGTCCGACTCGTTGAAGTTGATGGGGATGGCGCCGATGGAGGCCGCGCGCTCGAGGCGCATGGGCGTGCGGTCGATAGAGTACACGCGCGACGCGCCCCGCAGCATGGCGGAGTAGGCGGCCAGCAGGCCGACGGGGCCCGCGCCGAACACGGCTACTGTGTCGCCTGGCTCGAAGCCTGACCAGCTGATTGCTTGCCATCCTGTCGCGAAGATGTCGGCCGTCGTCACGTAGTCTTGCTCGATGGTCGCGTTGGTCGTGTTGTGTGTCAGTGGCACGGGGATGAGCGAGTCGTCGGCGAAGGGCACCCTGGCGTACTCGGCTGTACACAGACAGAAGCGTCAGAAAGGTAGCTGTTACGTCGCGGATGAACATTATACGTACCCTGGAGGCCGACGCCGCCCGAGATGCCAAAGATGCCATTGGACTCGAACGAAGGCGGCTCCATGTTCAGATGGCCGGTGGACGGGTTGTCCGGGATGACGACGTAGTCGCCGACCGAGAGCGACGAGACGGCGTTTCCGATCTCTGAGATGTAGCCGATGGCTTCGTGGCCCATGCCCCACGGCGCGTCTTGCCCTTGCAGGCCGTGGTACATATGCAAGTCGGATCCGCAAATCGCAGAGGTCGTGATGCGCACAATCGCGTCGGAGCCCGCTTGGAGGGTCGGCATTGGCAGGTCTGCGACCCGCACTTGGTTGGGGACGCCTTCGTAAAGGACGCCGCGCATGGTCGCGTTGAGGGACATTGCTGTGGTTTTTCTGTTTGGAGAGCAAAGAATTTGGGAGTCGAAGGGCTGGAGTTCCAGTGAAGAGCTTGAGAAGCCATCTCGTGCGCTTTATATGCGCCGTAGAGTAGTTGACTATGGCGGTGATAGTTCATTGAGGTCGTATGCGAATATGCCGACAGCAAGGGAGTGGACAGATGCATCAACATCATAGCGTCAGCCAAGAGAGGCTGAGCATTGTAGCTTATGACGCAGCTTCGAGAGAGCCATAAGCAACTTGCATATTGATCTGCACCCCGGACTGTTTACAGCCAATGAAAAGCATGAGCCTTTTAAAGTTATGGGTCCTAAGCCGTTTAAATCAAACTGGGCCGTTTGGACAAACGTACCAATGAGTCGACAGCTGCTTTTGAGATAAGGTGATAAACATCGGTTGGCGTAATTGGATTCCGAAAGAAGCCTTGTTTGCACGACGCAAAGGTGAACGCTTGCTGTATCTCCGTTCTCTGCTCCAATATCCGTCTGAATCCCACTTTTCTTAAGTCCGTTCCGGGACCATATTGCTGAACTGCCGCAATGGAATTAATAGTCTCAAAAGACAGTAAGGGCTGGAATCGCTAAGGCGGAAGCTCAACCCGTCTTGAGGTAGCCGGCAATTCTAGCATCCTCGAAACCGCCGGCAGCTCTACCGGCTCTGGATTCCGTATTCCATTCACCTCCGCCTCGAGTATTGCGTTGTCTGGAGGCATTTCTGGATACGTGCGCTCCGTAGTTTCTAGTTCGGCCTTGTGCCAAATCGGTTGGTCATCTGTACGGTCATTGCGCCTACTCTTCTTTCGTTTAAGCCAGCAGAAAACTGTCGCCGCCGAGACTAATACGAGGGCAACGAAAGCAACGACAGCAACTGTGATGCCTGCAATAGCGCCCCCCGAAAGATGTTTGTGGCTGTGTTTTGCCGTGGATGTGGAGCTTGCCGTAGAAGTTGGAACGGCGGAAGAAGACGCAGACTCGTAATCGTATGTATCCCGGGCAACGGACTTTGAGAACACGGCCGAGAGATCGCTGCTGTTCCAACCCAACTGAGGTGACGACAGTGCTGCGCCCCCTGATGAACTGCGCAGTGAAAAGAAAATATCAGCTGGGATTCCGATAAAAAGCAAAGAACACGAGATTTACCTTCCTCCAATGACAGCGGTCACCACGTCCGGAACGGAATACTCCAGCTTCGGATCGAACTGTGTTCTCCACGCGTAGGTGGAAGTGTCCAGAACTTCAAATGGTGGATAGTTTTGATTACAGACGTTGTTGAGTTTCTTCGGATCACCGACTCCGACAGCAACAATGCCGCCTGAAACTATCATCTGCCCGTCGTTCCACATATTGCATTTGTGTCTGTTTCGACCAGGCGTAGTCTCCGGGTCGGTCGCCGTATCTTTTGTTACCTGTATCCAACGGAACGAAGGTAAGCTGAGAACGTAGACATCGCTGAATGTCTGCTGCTTTAGCTGATCCCAACCTCCGTATATCGTGATTTGGAAGCTCGAATCATCCGGAGCTGAGGAAACACCAGCACAGAACTCGGTCCGCTTATGAGGAATGTCGCCAGTTGCTTTTTGGTAATACCACGTGTTTGAGAAGATGTCGTAGATCCAGATGTCACTCATGTCTCGCTGGTCCCAGTCCCATCCTGGTCCGAAGTCGCTCCCTTCAAAGGCCGTGTTGTACCCGCCGAACGCGACTAATATCCCGGCTTGTCCCTTGCGCAGAAAGGTCATAGCGCCCTTCAGAATGTTCGGGCCCTGAAGTCCCGTCTGCGTGGTCATGAAGCTCCATGTTGGTTGCGCAGTGCCCGAATTCGCGGACTGGAACTTTACTGTCCCGTTGTAAGTGCCATTGTACGCCATAGCCCAGCCGCCGGTATAGAACGATGTGCCAGTCTTGATGTCTGTGGCGTAAACTCCTTCACTGTTGTTACCGAAGCTTATCTTCCCACCCTCGACCTGCACCAGATTCCAAGTATTTGATGTCGTGTTGAAAGAGTACAATGAGTTGTTAACGCCGTCTGCTTCTGGCCCCACCATACCGGCGTAGGCGTACACGGTGGTATGGTCGTAGAAAAACGTCCCAGATGCACCGCCAGATACCGGAGATTTACCGCCAGCTAAGGTGTTGCTAGGTAGGTCAACAGCTTCAAGGAGCGACATGTCAATCGGTTTGTCGACTGTGATGGTATCATTTAGTGTGAGCCAGTAGAGCGAAGAAGTGTTTTGCCAGGTCTCTCCATCGTCGAATGTGTAATTCCCGCTTGAAAACAGTAAGCGGTCTCCAACAATGGTGGCTGGCGGAAACATTATTAGTATGGATTTTTGTATATGCGAGACAAAGTAAGATAGCATACTTCTCTGGTCAACGATGCCACATAGTGAGCGAGCGGACACCATGGAACGAAAGTAAGCCGGGAAGAGAACGATGGCATACCAGCTTGCATGAAGCCAGAGTATGGAAGCCAAAGACAAACCGACTCGCCGAAATGCAAGCATTGCGATTTGAAAATTGCGACGGGGAGTTTCGTTCCTGCAAATTGTTTAAGCTTCTGGGCGGAGACGATTGTCTGAAGTAGGCGCGTGGCTGCGGCACAGTCAAGCGCCCCACAATAATGAGGTGCCCCACAATAACGAGGCGCGCGCTTACAGCCCTCAGAGTTTTCTCACTTCGGAGTGCCCTCCTTGAGAGAAAACCATGGTAATCTTTCCTGGTCCAGATAAAGTCCCGCTGTTAAGGTAGACACTTTCGTGATAAGTATCAGGGCGATTTGGATTGTCTGTCGCTTCTAAAGCAGCTATTACCTTGCACACAGCGGAGATAAATGCCGAACATTGCGGATGATACTGCTAAATCCCTCCTATCCTCAAGCAACCAAGGAGTCGATGCGACAGTCTATGCCGTACTCTGCTGCACAATGTCCTATGGCCCTGGTAGGAAGAAACAGGCTCCAATCGTCTTCTTCGATAGGCGATACCGTATTCAGTGCTTTCACATATTCCCAGTACTCTGGATATGCACCACTCATTTCCCAATCAATGAGACCGGTTATCCTCACCAACCCTTCAGCTCCAGTTCCAAACTCAACCATGATGTTCCTAGGATGTAAATCGCCGTGTGTCATTACAACACGATGGTCTGTCCGAAGGAGAGAATTTAAGAATTGAAGGTAAGCACGAGAATATCTTGGCCCAGTTCCTGAGAGTAGGAATTTGTTAAAGTCGGTTTCGTTCCGTATAGGAGTTTGACTGAAACGTGTGTATCTCCTTGTGTCTTTACAACAAGGAACATCTCCTTTACAAAGACACGTTGCTCCACCAAGGTAAGGTGAAGGCAGTGGCAGAGACCTCAGCTTTTCGAGTATAGCGCTTAACTGGTTCTGAATAGAATGTTTGTGTTCTCCAGACAGTGACGACCAGGACTTGTCCAATGGATTCCCTTTGATAAATGTCATAAATATGTAGGTCCGAAGGCCGATGGAGAGCGCACCGAGAGGTCGAGGTAGCGGTACATTGTCCGAAATTCGTTGCACGTATTTCATAATATGTGCCTCGTTGCAGTCCATGTAGAGCCCATGCTTTACGACGATACCATTTTCGAGTAGGACGATGGTCTTGCCGCCGGATTGTGAAATTGTCGTCCCTTTCTGTAGTATTTCCGTAAAATTTGAGACAAACCTTGGAGCATCCGAGGAAGGAAATTGGTCCAGGTTAGAGGTGTCAATGATTGCGCTGACCTCCGGATCCAGTTTTTGGTGCACAATGACTTGACTAGGCCGATCCGTAGCCTCTGTTTGGGTTTCAAGTGGTGTCTGTGAAATATCTTGGATGCGCTTGGATGGTACAGATGTGTCGTTTCGAAAATTCGGGGAAGGTCGCATTTTCTCCCATTTCGCGCGCCTGTTCGGGTAGGATGTGGCGTATCTCTTAAACAAAGATGAAAGATCAGCTGACGGGTCCCTTTCCAGTGATTCCTTAAAGGTGGACAAGATAGATTCGTTCATGCGCTGGAGCTTGTCATCGACCTGTGAGGATGTCATAGTCCCAACGATCTTTTTGTCCTCTGAGACATTGCTCTGAATAACAGGTTTGTCTACGAGAGCTGGCGACATTTATGTGGAAGGAGAATGGAGTCAGCTCTCTGTGAGAGTGCCAGGTCGAGCTTGATGTTATAGACATGGCAACGGCCAGGCAGCAACATTCCACGCGAGACACGAACGCGACGCGTGCTGGTCAAACTTGTACTACCGGCGGGTGAGTCTGGTCACACGGAGCTGTTGGAAACCTGGCTTTGGCGATGTCTCTCTCGACCTCTTGTTTGGCCCGCTCTTCTTTGCTCTATTCCCAGAGCTCTGCAGCTGACAGGTCGTCTACCGTGCCTGCAATTTTGCGTTTACAACTTCCGCCGTTGACTGCGCACATCTCTACGGACTGGCTCTGCTTTACTCACCATCAGCAGTGACACCTTTCACAGACGTTACACGCCAGTAAAGTTTACGTTAGGGCATAATATGTAGCTTAATGCAGCCAACCCCGCTTTCTTCTTGACAACAGACGTGGTTGGATCGCAAAGCCTCCCATCATTGGATCGTGCTTCTCCTCGGCGAATCTATGTTAGTCACAGTGCCCATTTACGGAGGATTTTTGGACATGGCTCTACGAAGATTCTTTTCCTGTTGTATCCTAGTGGCAGAGGATGTGGCTCTGCTCGCCTCGATATGGACCACCTCTGGGCCACTTGGTGAAGCTGCTCCAGGAAGCACGACCCGACGTGATGCTCGAGCCGTGCGGGCGCACGCTTTGTCCCCACAGACGGTGACAGCGCAGGTGGTAGTCACCGTTTTCGGACACCTTTGACCGTATCTTCGATCCATGCCAGCGTAACGAATCACGCGTCGCCGCGGGACGCGCTGGAGGAGGTCTCGGAGTGACGGCTGCGCTCGAATTTGAACAACAGGCTTTAAAAAGGGCGAATTCCGCTGTCATGGAGACGGCGAGCGGTGCAGCGTGCTGCAGTGCAGGCAAATTCTACAGTTGGGGGATAAGCACTACCCGGCTGGCCAGAGCGCCGAAGTGCGGGGCGGAAGTGCCCACGGTGGGCGGGTGGGTCGTTGGGGATGCATTGGCTGCTTCACCCCACAGCGCTGGCGGGAAAGCCGGAAGGTGTCCAACTCTTTACGAAGAATGTGCGTTCTTGAAGTTGCAATTCTCTGGATTGCTCGAGGCGCGTAACTACGTGTTGGCTGGGTTGATCAACAAAACATTAATATTCTATCCACTCTTTTTTTGGCTGCAGTGAGGCGCAGTCGAAACCGGTTTCGCCGGAAGCACCGGCCGTCGGACACCCGAAGATAGCCCGGGCTTGTGATTGCCATGCATGATGCAAGCGTCCGCTTTACCGACGACCCACTGCCCTGCCCTTCTTCTCATCTAACTGCTACTCGTACTGACTCTGCCACTGGTTGTCCACTACCGCCTGGTATATAGTCGTTAAGGGTCGTAGGAGTTGTAGCTGCGGCTCGTTGGTAGCCGGCGGCCGTCGAGGTATCAAACGTCGGTGATGAAGTTCCTACGGGCATGTTAGTACGTACGTCACCTTCTTCCCGGTAATGACAGCGACGAACCTCGTTTTGTGTTTTCACTTTTACATGTCATCAGGCCATGCCGACTGCATGCCGGAGCGCTTGTAGGCAAGGCAGATCTTGAAGCCGAACTCAGGGTCGTAGCCGTCGAATCCACCTTCAGGGGGCGACGGGAGTGCTTGGTAGTCGGGGTATTCGTTCTGCATGGCAAAGGCAGGTGCGTCACGGGACGAGAGAGGGTCGCTAGTGGATTGACGGCGAGAATCATCGGAAGACATGGTTGAGGAAGCGGGAGAAGACATGGTTGTTGTTGATTTTTGTTTTGAACTTGGACTTGGAGAGTTCAACTCAACGAGGGATGTTGGGGGAAGAAATAAAGGGAGCGAGGGTGCCAAGAGTGCTCGCATCCTTGTGCGGGGTTTAGCCGGATGCCGGGATTTTCCGGGGGGCCTAGTGTGGGGTCGCTGGGGGTGGACGGGGTCCCCACGGGCAAAACGAGACACGTCTCCGCAATCTCCGCCGGGCAAACGGACGACGTCGAAAATGTCTCGGAACCACCAACTCTCGACCTTCCGACTTCACTGCCCTTAATGCTTTTCCGTATCACAGATGGCGTGAGATGGAATCACGGAAAGCAGGTGCGGGTAGCGCTGGTGCTCGGAGATTTATCGGAGCGCTATCTTCCATCGCGCCCGATCATCTAACCTAGATACTGAATTAAGTTATGCTAGCTCAGTCTAAACGTTTCCTCTTCTCCTCTTCGTTGATTGTCCCGAACTGCCTCTCCTTCCATTATTCCATGAACATAACATTCTCCTACAAGCTTGAAATTTCCGCTGCTTTCACAACGTCGCAAGATCAAAGGTACGATACTGCCATATAGAATCACCACCCTATCTTCAACCGCCATTGCCGCTGGTCCAATGCCCATAAACCCTTGTGCAGTAGTAAAAAATATCCTTTCTTTGCAGAAAAACTGTATCTTGTTCCAATACGACGTCAATTCTTTTGGCAATGAAACAGTCTCCGTTTGGCAAGCGTCTACCTTCAGTGATTCGAGCGGAGGATTCTGTCGGGCGGCCAGGCTTACGTATCCCATTAGCTTCTCCCTCTCGACCTCGGGGCTTGCTCTAATAGAAGCGGGGTGCAAAGACTCAGCGATCCCCACCCGGCTCCCAACCAGTGTCAACGCAAATGCTTCTTCTACTTCTTCCTCAGTTTGGTAAGCACTGCAATAGGCCTTCGCTGTTTCGTCCAATAGCTGTTTAATTGCCCATGGCCCAAGGCATCCGTGTTGCAGGGAGCCAGACACTTTGAAAGTTGGATTTTGGTGCCGGACAATGTCGAATGTGACCCCTATAACACTGAGGTCATTGATAGTAGGTGAACCCTTTAACTGGAGAGGTCGGCCTGCTGATACATTGTAGCGGATAAATCGCTTTCTGTGTGCTCTAAGAAACGTTCTTGACGCTCGTTTTCGGCTCCAGTCGGGCGCCCATGACGGCCGAGGAAATTCTTCCAGAGGATAGTTGTGTTCCACTGCAGATAAACAGTCGAGATTCTCATCAATACTTATTAGAGCTACCGCAGTTCTAGCAAATGTTTCTTGGGGTGATGCATTATAGTCGGGAAGCCCCATGGTATAGAGTGTCGTAGCCTCCTCTGCGAGGCCAAGCAGTCCGTATACTTTGTCGCGCTTGTCTGTCGCCTCGCAATCGCGGAATTCATGAAGAATCCGAATAAAAGGCGCCTTTTGCTCTCCACCGGGGATCGTCCGCCAGTCCAAGGTTGCAATGTTGAGAGCGTTAGACATGCCTTGTAATCCCCTCTCGTTGTGGCTTGATTCAACAGTTGAAAAAGGCTTATCATATCTGATCGACCATGCTGCCATCATTGACAACAATTTGTGAGATCCCACAGAGCGAGATCCGCAAAACATCATCGCACGTTTGGCCATGATGTACTCTTGGACGATCCATGTCCTGAAAAACCAAGGTCTCTGAAAAAAGGTGAAGTAAGATTTCCAGAATGTAGATTCTCCTGATGGGACCTCTAGAATAGAGGTAATCGTGTTGTTCCAGCTGCCATTAGAAGCATAGGTCTCGACCTCAGATGCTGGGGGAGCACGTTCCATGAAGTCCATTACGGCCACGGAAGCAGCGTCCTCAGAACCCAGCCATATCCAAACGCACTCAGCGTGTTCATAAATAGCGCCCATGAGAGCTACCTGTTCCCTTTTTTCTTCATTGTCGGCTTGATTGATGCAGATTTGGTCAACCCAGAAGTAATCTGAAGTCTTGTATTTGGTCCATGATGCGCGTTGAAGTTGGTACAATGCTTCGTCAAGGGATTTAGTAATTCGCATAATTTTTCCATCGCAAATCAAGTCGGCTTTTGGTTCTGGTAGACCCCAAACATAAGATAAGCATTCGTATTGGACTGTCCCATCTTCAAATCGTGCTTCGTGGAGTGACACATTGAGACCTCCTGTCGCTGTAGTTGGCAGAAACTTGATAAGACGGATGCATTTTGGGTGGGACAAACCTTGATATACGTAAGAGTCCATGAAGACCTTAATAAAGGTGCGAAAGGCTTAAAGAGTAGTTTAGTAGAGAGATGGTTTGTTGGAAGGAAAACGTAGGGTTATTTCAAGCATTCTCAGTGTTGCCCTCGAGTGGGGACCCACTACACCCAATAAATCGGCGCCACGTAAGCTTGTGTCCCCTAAGCAAAAGATACAATGATAAGGACTTAAGCGAAGATATGTTCACCCTTAACTAGCTTAAGTTTCACTGAGCAAGAGACAGCCCCTAAACCGTGTTTCTACATGCCTGCCCTTTGATCACATCGAAGAGCTTACTTCCCACCAAGATAGTTGGCAACAGACTAAAGGATGGATTTCGGTAAATAGTCTCGCAGGTTTTTCAGAACTTAATTAGCACCAATCGCCGATACAAACTCACGATGAATTTAGACTTGCAATTATGAAATCACTGCACGGATCCCACGCTTAGGTTTAAATATTGGCTTGGAAGAAGCGTATAGAAACGAATATCTAAAGCGCTTTCTTAAGTATATCCGCCTAGCTCTGTTCCGTATTCAAATGAGTGTAAACCTCCACCGCAAATTCATGTCGACATGCAAGACGGCTAACTCTTTGAATGACTCCATTTACTGGCACACGCAGTGGGCGTCAATGCACGCCGGCGTGCCCTACGAGAAAGTATCAATTAGTATCTGTTCTTGTAATTTGGAGAAGTGTTGAAAACCTACTCCGCCGGGGCAACGCCCACAGTCAGCCACTGTGTTGCATTGGCCGATTTGTTCCGAGGGAGAAGCTCCAGTAAACTGGGCAAGGACAAGGCAGAGGGCGACGGTGAAAATAGAACCGAAAGTCTTCATTGTGTTGTTATCCTTTGGGTACGATAAAATGCTGTTTGATTCTGAAATGTGATGCCTCTGAATGACAAGAAATACTAGATATTTATACCTATGACCATGATAATCACCGTAGGATAGACCATTCTTTTCACCTTGGTCCGACAATATCAGCCGAATAACCATTGGAACAACTGTCGAGTCAAAAAAATGGTCCCATGGGACAAAAAGGACAGCAACCTAGAGATTTCTACTAAGAAATGACATCAGCGAATTGAGAAACTTCCCCTTGCTATGCCTTAACATAGGTAGTGCTTATTTTACCAGAAAGGAAGAAATGTTCTATTTAATCAGAGTAAGCAAAGCATTGCCCGAAACAAGCAAATGCTTTGCTAGAATATGCTTATAACTAAGCCACCCCGCCTTTAGCCGAGAAAAGCGCGGTTGCCGATCGAAAAATATAACAGGTAATGCTCTAATCAAAGCTTGAGCATCTACGATTAGCCCCTAAGTCAAGATAAGCGCCCGGCACTTTACTTCTTAGCAGCATTACATTATCCGCACCATGAAAGTAAAACGAAACTAAGACGAAACCGGTCAATTAAGTATAGCTAAAAGTGCACTTTGACGTAGATGCTGATTTTATATATAGTCTGTACTATGTCAGACTGGTGTTTTCTTCAGCCCCATTTTAACAACTGGACTCTCCATAAACGTTTCCCAGTTGTTTACCGATGTGGTGGTTATGGAGGAAACTCGAGTCTCCCTGCCACCTCTTGGGATCATTTCGGCTTCGTAAGTATCAATAGACTCTTTCTGTTTTCCCTCATTGCCGTCCCTACCAAGGAAAGCACCTATTGCCTTGACAAGGTTGGCAGCATCTTCGAACCCATTGTTAAGTCCTTGGCCACGGGACCACGTCATAGTATGCGCGGCATCTCCAGCCAGAGTTACGCGGCCATCAAAATTGTTCCAGCGATGTCCTTTTTCCTCGGGATCCCATTCGGCAAATTGTGCGTGCCATACATAATGGTCGTCCGAGAGCCATCCTACCGCACTTTTCATTGGGTCGGCCCAGTCTTTCGCAATCTCCTTGAAGTGTCGTAATCGAGCTGCGTTGTCCCAACTAGCAGCATCCTTTGCGCTCTCCAGTGGCCAAGTAATGTAAAACCAGAAAACCCAGTCCTCGGGGCGTTGAGGATCGGGAATGTCTTGAAGACCGAGGGTAGAGAAAAATCCTTGTGGATGTACGGAGCAAGAATACAGGTTATGCCACTTGCGCAAGTACACAGCTTGCTCCACTGTATACTTCGCCTGGGCCCAGGTTGCTACCCACGGCAGAGGGCGCACGGCGCTTTGTTTCTCCCCAAGGAGACTTCGGCGGACACTCGAACGTGTTCCATCTGCGCCGATTATAATTTTTCCAACAATTGTAGTTCCATCTTCGAATCTTGCTGCCACGCTTCTGTTGCTTCCCATGCCGGGAACGTCGATCATTTCCATATTGACAAAACTTTTGTTAAATCGGATATCAATACCATCCGCTAAAAGGTTTCTCAGCTTTTGGCGTTGCAGGCGATGCATAGAATAGACAGGAACAGTAGCTATAAGTTCTCCGGTGGCGGCATTGTGAAATTTGCACACATCCTCTGCCTTGATGGGAACGTGGGGGTCCACTTCGACCTGTGGAAGCTTCTTGCGAGCTTCTTCGCTGATGAGCTGCTCAAGAAGTTGGAACCCCCAATGGGCTCCCATATTCCAATCACGATGACCGGGTGGAAGAAGTGATTCCTTTTTCTCCAAGACAATACAGTCGACACCAATCTGGATTTGTATATTAGTGAAAGTTCGCCATGGATTTTGCGCTTAGTGCTTACTTTCTTGAAGCCCTGTGCGATCAGCAGACCCGTGGCGCCAGCGCCAACGATGATCACAGAAGTATGAACCATATTGTCGGATACCATGGTGATAGTAAGCGTGCCAAGGTGTTTAGGACTTGCGTACAAAGAAGTATCAGGGAAGAAGATCTAGCAACCTTCCGCCTATAAATTAAGGAGAATCTCTTGTAGAGCTAAATTTGCACCAGTCAATTGACGCCATATGGCAGGTGGGTCTTGCCGAGGCCCGAGGGTAACGCACGGGCAAGTTGGAAACCCCTGGCTGATCGAGTGAATTGCAAATGCTTACTCTGGTGGGATACGAAAGATACCCTTGGAAGTATAAAGAGTATATGCTAGTCTATACGTAACTACATGCGCCACAGTACTTGAAAGAAGTGGATGAATAAGCTGTGTTGTAGCCCTATTGGCAATGCTGGTCGCTTGTTCTATCTTCGATCGGCTTGATCGTCCTCAGCCAAGGCAACACATAATGCAACTGCTGTTACCCGCTCGCAGCGGGGCGTTAAAAAGGTTGCGTAGATGCGTAGGTACTCCGTACATAATAAGGCCTGCAGGGAATAGGCGGTGTGCAAAAAGCGGGCACATCACGCATAACGCTAGCCGATCACAAAGGCGCAGCATGATTGATTCGCCTCAAAACGTAACCTCATTGGATATGTTTGGCAAATTTATGTGCGGCTGAACGAGGTTGTGTGATAACAGTCGCTACGTAAGACAGCCCGCCATGGGGTTTGACTGTTCGAGCTCAGCTCAGCAAATAATATTGCGAAGTCAAGAACTGCATCGCTGCCCAAAGTCGAAGTATCCTCTTAGTGGCAGAGTGGCTTCAATCTATATATCGAGATCGGTAAGCCTGTCGCCAAGATGAAACCCTGCACAGAGCTTGTTTGGGAAGTTGAGCCGAACAGGCTTTCCAATTTGAATTTCCATATGCGCACGTATGCACATGCGCACGTAACGTGCTAAATGCGGCCCGTCTCCCGCTACCCCACTTTTACTCTTTTCTAAAACAACCTCCTAACCTCTCCAACATTCGAAACCCCAGCAGCAACAACAACAAACTCGACAATATGGCCTTTAGCTTGCCCATTTCAACAGCTAAAGAACACGATGATAAACGACCGCCTCCCCGCAAAGCATCTACATCATCTCGACGTCCACACAAATCGCTTACGCCAGAAACTTCTTTCGTCTTCGTGAACCTTCAAGGCGAGAGAACTCGACATAAACCAAATTCGAAGGAGATTCGGAGTCACGTCCAGCTGGTCACACAGGAGAAGAGGCGACGCCGTCAACAAAAAGAGTCAAACGCTGTTACCAAAGATGGGTCGGTTGTACCTAGTTATGCTCCGATCCGGGGAGTAAGCTGGGACCAGGCTGATCCATTTGACTGCTTGCCCGCGGAGGGGTCTCCTGCTCTTCGGGAAATCATCAAATACTGTTTGTCACGCCTTTCATCTTTTTCTATGTTGCTCATTCGGCTGATCGCAACAGTTTTCGGTCATTATCCTGGGGCAACCCCACTCTCTGACGGTATATAAGTTGTCGCCCAGAGCCACGAACAAAACTAATATGAGATGCAGATAGTCTGGCGATAAGTGGAAGCCAAATCGCTCGAAAAAACCTGAATTGGGACAACACAATGTGGAATCTGCTACGCCATGATCAGTTATCATTTGTCGTCTTTCTTTTCGGGACGACCTTGGTCCGAGACACAATCGAAGGGGAAGGAATGAGCCGACAATGCTACTCATACATACACCGGACTATGCAGGCTGTTCGAACGAAATTGCCAGATATAACAGATGCTAGCTCGATAACGGATAGCTTTGTAGTGGTTGTCGCAGGGTTGACTTGCGCCACTGTAAGAGCAAATCCAAGGACACGGTGTTCGAAGTCGCTAACAAAATCTTACGTGGGGTTGTAGGCCGCATATGGAGACTATAATGCATCAAAATCCCATCTACTCGGCATGCTTACCCTCGTTGCTACTCGAGGAGGGCTTAGAACTTTCGGACGATTCGCCCAAAGAACCATCTTATGGTGCGAATTTAACATACGCGCGGCGCTAGTATCCATGCCTGCACTCCGCCCTATTGCCTCAACATCTGTTCTATTTCCACCCAACCTTGAAGAGCGTGTCGATTACCTGCATCAACAAACCTTGACCCATTTTCCTGGACTTGTGGGAAGCGAACTCGGCATCATTTTTCGACAGCTACACCTATTGAGCGTTGCTATAAGTCCACCATGGGATGTTGTCGTTGATAGGGCAGCCGTCAGTGACACTATCGACGAAACCGAGTACTGTTTGCTTCGAGAGCTTGTTCGCTTGAAGAACGAGCGCGAGCAGAGGGGATTTACAGATTGGATCTACTCAACGGTTGCGCACGTGGCTCAGATGTACGTTTGGGGGGTTGTAAGCGATGTGAAGGCCGAGATGACAATGAAACGTGAGTTCACCGTTGAACTACGAGACCGCCTAAATGTCAAGGATCTTCGAGAGACATGGAGCCAATCCGCATCCCTACAAACACTCTTCTGGGTGCTCTCAGTAGGGTTGTTCCTGGCCTCGAGATACAGAAACTGCTCCGATATGATTGGTTGGTTTGAAAACCAGATCGCTGAGCTCCGAAACGACAATGACCCGTATTTAAAATTGATCAAAGACTTTCCCGGCACCGAAGACTTTTACCGAGAGCAGTCGAGGTTGATTGAGAGCCAAGGAGCCATCGGTCGTATTACAGAAGCGTTTGGTTTGTAGGATACCCCTTTGTAAAAGCAGTGGCATATGTAAGTAATTTGTATAAAACAACTACTTTCAACTGAACGCAACAAAGGACTGACACAAAACAGGCTTCTAGGTTTCTTTCAAACAATCAGTAGATTCTCAACTTTCATGACCGGAGCAGGTACAGAATTCGGCCATGCTCCTATCTCTTTCCAAAGCCACTCCACCATGTTGTCAGAGGCACAGATCGCATAGACACTGCCATGCGACTCTCCCCTATTGCTTTTGCCGTGTTAGGTCTGGTCATTGCCGAGCTGTAGGGGCTGTATAAGAACAACTGAGCGGTATTTGTCGAGGTATGCGATAGCTGTTTGCCAACATCGATTCATGGTCCTGTTACTCCCTAATAAATGCTCTTTTCTTTGTCCCCCCGGCGTAAAAGAAACAACAGTAGTCGGAGAATCCTGATACCGTATGGCATCTTCAGAAACGACATGGTAAACGAGCCAATGTCCAGCAAGGCCTCGATTGGTTATTTTCGCTTCTCGGCTTTCTTCTCCATCGTATGCCAAGTACGGACCAAGCAGGTCCACAGCTGAACCTTGCGATAATCGCCGAACATACGGGGTTTTTGGAGCCCATGAGAACCCCTTAACGTTTTCCAGCCGCGGCGAAGAAGACATCAAGAAAGCCGTTTTAACCGTGCAGTCAATTCGACTTCTCCAGAGGCTTTCTGCGTTGAAGAACACTTCAATACCACTGATCAATGACCAGATCACAATGTCGTCCCCTTCTCTAGTGGCGTGCCAATGGCTTAGGAGGCTCATGGCTCCCTCAAGTCCCTTCCTTGAAGATGATCTGCGAAATGGATCTGTTGATGAAGGAAGGAGATGTTGTGTTGATAGGAACAGAACTGCAAGATCAACCCTTCCCGTTTGATGCACTCTAATTAGACAGTCCCGGAGTGAGACGGCCCGATTATCCTTACACAAAATGTAAAGATTATGGCAGCCTTTCATTGCTTCAAGCATCGTCCAGCCACGGACATTCCAGTCGCACACTAAGAAGGTGGCCAGTAGAGACTCCACTAACTCAATGGTTAGATCTGAAGTGTCAATGTCCATCAAATCTCTATCCAGTACAAGCACCACTTTGCTTTGAGCAAAGATTCGGTTAATAAACCCGATGGCTTCCTTTCTCAATTCACGTTCGGCCGGAATGCAGAGAGTATTGATCCAGTATGGATCGCAGCCATGCTGTTTTGCGATTTCTGAAAATCGCGCATGGAGACATTTATTTATCCCAGTGTCAGGCCGTCCTCCATGTCCGTGGCTCCACACATGAGAAATTGCCATTGTCAACTCTGTCGCTTGATTGTATTTGACCTGTTTTTTCGATGTTTCAAGGGAAACGGCCACCGGTCCAGAGATTGAAATGTAAAAATCTCTATTCCATGTCAATCTTGAGCAATTTTTCGCATGACAATCGTGTATGGATTGTTCATCTGAGACAAGCCGCTCGTCTTGGAACCTTCCGCATCCAAGTGGGTGGCCACCATCACAGGAGTCTTTAGATTTCCATAAGCATCGGGCTTCCTTCGTTCCATGCAGCACCGCATACCTCTGATGAAAATGACGGAAATCAAGTCCCAGAGAACAGCGATCAGACTTGAGCACCTCGAAAGCCCACGAACACATGTAAGCAACCTTTGGATTGTTCCAAGTGTATAGTGTTTCTCGGATAGATGGATGGTTGAGAAGGCTCATTCCTCTCAAAGCGAGTAATTGATTCCACTGTTCTTGGTGCCCTTGGCTGAGGTGTAGTCGGAGAACAAACCAAAGGAATGGCTGCAAGCATCGCGTCCATGTAGACCATAGGTAAGCCGTAATTATGTTTCGCTCGAGTTGGCCAGTAGTACCCATTTTTGAAGGTTCGTATACCAGCCCAGAAATGCTGTTTAGAAGAGTGTAGAGGCTTTTGCCAATTTGGAAATTGGCTATACCAGACGTAACAATTAAAGCCGTTTTCAACGTGATTGTGCCGTAACATGAGACGACCTGGAGTTCCTCCCAAGGCGACCTTGTTCGGCGCTCGTCAGAAGAAGCAAGGCTTTGTGTCGCAGGTTTAAAGTAACGCTGCAGATTCGCCAATCCAGGTCCATTCCACACACCGTAGGACAGGTCTATTCTAGGCGGAAGAGAAGGAAGCCGCTGGAGTAATGACAAAGCTTGACCGACATGGTGGGCATGGGTGCTTGTCCCTCGAACGCCCTGGTTTGAAAGCTGAAAGCTAAGCGCAATCATTTTTGAGATCTCTTCGTCAATGAGAGGGAAGTGATTGTTGGCATCCGATGCGACTGTGGTAAGGCGCCCAATTTTCGCTTGGATGGAGTGAGATTGCTCGGAAGGAACATGGACCCTAGAGCCTTCATGGCTGACGATGGGATAGAGAAGGCGGGGATCTTTTCCGCGCAGTACATGCGTAGTACTTTCATTCCATAGAGCTTGCAGTCACTCTTCCATTGAGCTCATCATCGCATTACCTAGCTTCGTAAGAGCGGGGTGGTGTCAGGTTGAACTGAGTCAATCAATCGTGCGGCACATGGCGTTCCCGCTTATCCCGCCACTGCTTACATACACCAGTTTCACATGCTCAGCTGCTGTCTGCTATTGTAACGAGGCCTCTTCAGCCTAGGCGTTGGAATTGCCTAGCGGGTGCTGTTATGGACCGCAAGGGAAATCAACCCGCAGGGTCGGAAGGACCTTATGGGAAGAAGGCCCACACGGGCCTGGAGACCACAAGGGCTTAGTAACCACAAGGAGCCGCGTCCCACAAGGTGCCAGCAGACACGTACTAGGCAAGGCCGTAGGGAAACCAAGACCACAGACCCAGAAAGCCCACAGGGGATTAATGCCCACAAGGGTAGAAGGCAGCAAGCCGACAAACCAACCTACAGAGCGATCAAGGACAAGGAGGGTATCGCGTCCGCTCTGCGATATGAAGAAAGGTTGTTAGGTTGCAGGAAGTCAGCCGTCAGAAAAGTGGCACAAGGATCACATGACTAAGGACGATCCTGCGCATGGACCAATGGATCAGGACTGATCCATCTGCCTGATCCAATACCATGATCCTAAGAAAGGATCCAGATTGTTGACATTTCCTACATATATTTAGACCACGCTCTCTAGCAGTAGATAGGACCTTCGTGGTCAACTCAAAGTATCAATCTCTACCATAAGGTTGATGGTAACACGCCTACACCCGATCCTTCACGTGACTTGTCTCTCAACTTCCTACACTTCTTGTCCTTCAAGGTAAACCCTTCGAACCAACTCACCCGCTAGGCAATTCCAACGCCTAGGCTGAAGAGGCCTCGTTACAGGTGCATAGGTTCGAAGGGTTTATCTTAAAGGACAAGAAGTGTAGGAAGTTAAGGGGCAAGTCACGTGAAGGATCGGGTTGATTGAGTTGAGTTGAGTTGAGTTGAGTTGTATTCATTTACCCTAACCCATCGCCCTGAGCGATATGTAGGCTACGACTATTTAAGAGTTTTACTACTAGTTTACATGTAATTTGTTAATCTGGGAGGAAAAAGAAAGGTAAAGGGAGTAGATAGTAGGGTAGGAGGGGTTAGTAGTATAGAGGTTCTATGCTGTAGGATTATCTCTATTCTTAAACTATTGTAAGTCTTGTATAAAGTTAAGTATAGCCTGAAGCTGTGATGCTGTTATTCTCTAATTATTATCTTTACTCTAGGTAGCTGCGGTATTACTTAGTGGCTTTCCGCCGAGTAAGGCTGATAGGCTATTTTTTTCTAATCTACTATTTTAGAGTATCTTCTATTAGGTTTCCTAACCTATATGCGCTAAATAACTATGGGTATAGTTGTTTAGTAGGCTACTAAAACCGATTTAAGGTTTCCCGAACGATAGGGGTATAGTTGTTTGGTAGAGGGGGTATAATTATTTGGGGTTCCTAGGCGAAAATCCGGGATGCAACCCGATAGAATTTTAAGCCAGGTTGAGGAGACCCTAATTCCAATTTCAGGTACCCGAAAACCTATAGTAGTTATAGAGATATTAATAGGTTAGGTTAACGGTCGCGATATTTGATAGGAGAGGCCCGAGTATAAAGGTAGGGTTAGTAAGCGACGTTGCCGAGGGCGCGTAGTAAGTTGTAGTAAGTCGCCGGTCGCGCGATTGATACGGGTAGCCCCCTAGTAGAGAGAAGGGTAGCCGGTAGTTAAATCGTCGCGAAAGCCGTCTATTGCGAAAGCCGTCCGTCGTATTACCCGTAATTAGCTATAAGGACGAAATAAAGCCGAATTATTTATTCCGCTATATTTCTTTATATATAATTCTCTATATTCACTTTAATTTTTCGTTATTTTAAGGTTGCCTAATAAGTAGCTAGCAATAAGAGCTGCTTGTATATTGAATTAAAAGTTAAGGAAGTTAATAATATTCCTCTTGCCTAGTAGCGCCTACTGCCTAGGTTATTGTTTCCTCTCTTTCCCCTCCTCTCTATCTCTCATCTTGCTAAATCGGGCCTATTATAACGCTATTTCTTCTAGCCCTTAGTAACTTAAATGTAGTTAGCCCTAGTAGCGAACTGAGGAGGGTTAGTAGCGTTAGGTAGATCTATCTACCTAGTAACCCGCTTAATAATCTACCTAAGAGATATCTCCCTATAGTTATCGTTAATATTCCTACCGCTAGTAACCTAGATCTTCTTATTAAGGCTTCGCTCCCTACCAGTACCCGTCTTAGTAAGAGAGTTAACTAGCTCTCTAAGCTGGTTAACTAACCTAGAAACCCCATAGTAGTTAGGGCAGACTACCATGGCGGCCCTCAGTAAATCTTAGAACGGCCTTCGAAAATTTCAGTCTGCCCCCAGACTACCATAGTAGGTCGAGGGGCAGACTACTATAGTAGGATTTAGTTCGATTTTCATCAAATTTATATATATTATAGCGCACGGCGCACCAAGTAATATACTTCAATTAGACCATATTAATACCCGTGGATGTAGCTTAATATGGTAGTGGAAGTTAGGTAGTTAGGGTTAATAAGGCAGGCCCGTACAGCGCGGGTTACGGCCGATTGCGCCGGGTTACCGAGGTAAAGTAAATAAAGAAAACGAGAGGGCCGTAACAAGACCAGAATAATAACCCGCGGGGATAAAGAAAGTTACGAAGTAATCCACCAAATTATAAACCCGCGATAAAATATCGAGTGTAATCACCGCAGCACAGTTATTCGAGTTTTCCGACGAATTCGGGTTGGTTATTTACAAGTAGTACCGTCACGCAGTTTAGCCCGATCACGTCCGAGGGCATTTACAAGAGAAACATTATAAGTTTACGAGAGCGGATGCAGTCGTAGCAGCCGAAGAAGTCAAGGCGCGGCCAGGATTAATTCCATTCGCGAGCGAATTACAAATACCGACCTAGGCCAGCCAGCCGATACCCTATTTACTATTACACAGGGACGGATTAAAGTACCAGTTAGACGGCGGAGAATACGGATATATTTACCAGTCCGAGAAATAGATAAGAAGTCATTAGAAAAACGTATATAGGTGGAAGGTTTACGACGGCCGAGGCGGGTCGAAGAGAGCGAAGACATAGGCAAGAGAAACCCAGTTCGAGACGGCGGTCAAGCGGGTTAGTTACTAGCGATTTTTCACGCAGGGCCCGGGGTCAAAATTTTTCGAGGTAGCGCAAGACCCCAGCGAAGAGCCACATCAAGAGGAGGGGAGAATAGATATCGAGGAGGTGGCATTCGGTCGGTTATAGAGGAAAGCAAACGAGGACTATACCAAAGAAGAGGAAGAAATCCAACGACACATCGAGGAGGTCGATCGGTTAGAAATCAGCCCGTGGCTCGACAGGACAGGATAGCATAATTATTTAGTCGGTTTAGAGAGGCCGGATTTAATTACCAGCGTAGAGGGTCCCGACGTCGAGGAGGAGCCGGTGGAAGCGGTTATTTAGAAAACCATGCGAGAATTAGCCTAGTTTTGCCAAGAGACCGTACGATCGAGGGTGGGTATTTTTATTCGATTGGAAGCCATCCGGATAGAGAAGCACTAGACGAGATATCAGCCGTTGCAGCTATATATAGACGATAAGACGTTCTAGAAGTACGTTCGTGTATAGCAGCGAGTATTAATGTTTTTCGCTAGGACGTAACGGTTACACGATTAGGCCAGTCCGAAATACCGGTTCACCAGAGAGCAGAAGAGGGTATAGAGGGTGTTAGTAGTCGAGGCGAGGAAGGAGGCCGAAGGAGAGAGCGGGGAAGAGAGCGAGGAAGAGGAAGAGGAGGAAAGCAGCTAGGATTCCGCATCCAGCAGCGACGACGACACTAGTAGCAGTAGCGACGAAGGTGACAAGGCCAAATTATCCGTAGTACAGCGGGCGTGTTTAGCGTTTTACATCGAGTTATTAGATTACTAGATCGTGTAGCGGGAGTACGAGTCGCCGTTGGTTTACGCGTTAGTAGTTTTAGGTGTTAAGGAGGGCGGGTAGAAAGGGCCGGACACGTATCCGCCGATTTTATCCGCTATAATCAAGATTACCCGGTTTATAGTAGTGCAACAGACCGTCGAAGAATTCGGGTTACAGGCAGTTAGCAGCAGCGACAGCGATAGCGACAGCGACAGCGACAGCAGTAATAGCCAGGCTAGTATCGTTCGAGCCGGTAACAGGCGCGAGTAGCGTAGTTCAGGCAGGCAGCAGCAGCAGTCGCAAAGGGAGACCGACAGTAGCAGCAGCGGTGAGGACAGCGAGTTTGGAGCCGGTAACAGGCGGCGACAGAGCAGTTCGAGCCAG